AAATGGGACTATAGGAGTGTTTTGAGGATCCTGTGAGGTGACACATTGCCAGGTGCTAAGCACACGATGGGAACTTGGTAAATCTATGCTGAATGAATGACCGGACCATCCAAGGCAAGACAAGCTGTAGGACTCCTGGCCAGTCGTGTTGCCTTTCCAAGCCTGTTTGCTTCCCAAGAAGGGGGGATAGTGTAGACATGGCCTGGCACAAACTCGTGGGTTACCTCCCCTGCTGAGCATTGGTGCCCAGCACATCTCCAGCTTGCTCTGTGCCCATGGGGACAGGACCTAGGCTTTGCTTTCTGTGAAAGTCATAGGTCTTGCTTCGTCCCATGTCAGCTGTTCTTTGTGGATTCTGTGCTGGGTCTTTTTGGGTAAGGAGGCACTGAGACCCTCAGCCCTGCCCTGAGAAGCTCACCCCAAGGAGGAACAGTGTGTGTGTGTGTGTGTGTGTGTGTGTGTGTGTGTGTGAGAGAGAGAGAGAGAGAGAGAGAGAGAGAGAGAGAGAGAGAGAGAGAGAAAGTTGGGGGTTATGCCTTGATCAAAGCAAGGTCTGGGCAAAGCAACCAAAGCAGATAGATAGTGAGAGGAAGGCTTCAGGGGGAGGTGGAATTTGAGGGGTTCTCTTCAAGGTGAGAATGGGGTTCAGAGGGGTACATTCCAGCCAAGTTAGTGCAACAGCAGTGCCCCCGGGGCCCCATGGGAGGAATGCCTGGGCCTGAGTGGCAAAGGAGGCTCGAATGCCAGGCTGAAGAACTGAATGCTACCCCAAGGGCAGTAGGGAGTCATGGCAGCATCTAGACGTGGAGGGGGGCTTGGTCTGGGCCCAAGTGGGAGAGGAGGAGGCTGGAATGGTGGCGTGGGCAGCCCAGAGTGGGGGGCCACCTTGCTTCCTTCCTTTCACCCCCCCAGAAACAACCCAGGTGGGGCTTCCCCTGGAGTCCCCACATTTTCTAAAGGCACAAGTTTGCAAACCCAGGAGGCTCTTCTGGGCCCCCACCTGACCACTGGAGACTCCTCCTGCAGGCCCTCCCCTCAGCGGCCGCAGTTTCCTCTGTAATAGACACAGGTCAGACTTAAGGGGTTCTGTGTTCCCAATGCTGTATGGTTTGGTTGAAGTCACTCAGCCAAAGCTGGGGGGCAGAACAAGGACTGGACCCCAGTCACTTAACATGTGTGCCCACCCCAAACACAGACACCCCCAGAGCCCCAGCCCACAGGAGCTTGGCTGGAGGTGTGGCTGGGTCCCCAGAGGACCCCGAGGAAATCCGCAGGAGACTGAGCCTCTGATTCTGACTTGCTTCTTTCTCTTTCTGACTTGCCCATCCACAAAACGGGAATGTTCCCATCTCATAAAGTTGTTTGGAGATGAATGGGGCCGTGGATATACATATTGCTCCAACATGAGAAAGTCTCTCCCTCCAACTCCTGTTCACTTCAAAACCCAACACAGACTTTCCGTCTTCAGTGCAGCCCAGCACAGTCTGTGGCTCTTCACTGTTCTTTGCTCTCGGCTCTCCAGCCCTTGATTCTGCCCTCTGCCCCTACCCTGACCCTATGCGTCTGGGAGTGTCTGTATCTGCCTCTGTCTTCCCCTCCACCAGACAAGTGGGGTCCTCCCTGGGACGCAACATTACTCAGTATGAGGCACACTGGGAACGTCGTTGAATAAGTGAAAAGAGGAAGGGAGGGGGCAGGGAGGGAAGAGATGCAACACTGGGGAGCCAGAGGTAGAGGAGGGAGAGAGGGCACTCCACAGAGACCTTGGTGGGGCAGATGGAAAGAGGAAGCTGGAAGGAGGTGGGCAGAACCGGAAGGGTGGGCAGGGGTGACTGGAGAGGTGGGGGTATGGGGAGACCTGCCTTCCCCCCGCCCCCTGCGACACCCCCCCCACACCTTCTCAGCGTTCCGTGGGCGGGCAGGGCCTGGCCAGTGGCTGGCGGGTTGCCTGGGAGTGGGGCTCAGGGAGTGAGGCACTGGGCCTCAGCTTTCTTGCTGCGTATGCGCCCCTGTGCGCCCAGGGCCGGCAGTGCGGGCCACAGCACATGGATGCCAGCCAGCCTGGTGTGAGTCTCTAGGCCGGTGGGTAAGGCGGGGTACGGGGCTGTGGGGTGTGGATAGCTGGGCCTTCAAGCCTCGGCTTTTGAGTGGGGGACTGGAGAGGAGGGGGCTGCCCCCCTGGCTTCTGGGAGCAGACCAGGACCTCCTCCTCCTGCCAAGCTGACCCTGAAGGGGGAAGGAGCCTTGCAGTAGGAGGTGGAAGACCCAGGCTCTGCAGCCACAGCTGAAGGCGCAGTTGGTGAGCAGGTACCCAGGCCATGAGAATGGGGTGAGGGTTGAGGGTGCTGTGTTGGGGGCAGGTTCCCTCCTCGTGGCCCCCTCCCTTGTTCCCTCTCTTGGCTCATCCATCTCTAGAAGATTATATTTAAATATCTCTTTTGTGCAAGGCAGGAGCTAGGCTCGCCCCTAAGAGGCAGTTTCCATGGTAACAACAATTGCCAGCTTCCATGTGGTGAATCAGTGTTGCCTTGGCAACACCATCCTCATCTGCCCAAGGTGCTGGGAGGGGGGAAGAGGTGAGGGCCAGTGGAGGTGAGGTGGGAGGGGTGGGGAAGCAGGAGGCTGATGCTCAGGTGCCCCCTTTCCCCCGTTTCTTTTCACCACCTCAGTCTGCCCCCAGCCCAGAATCTGGTCCCATCTGGTTGAAATCATCTCCCCTCCTGCCTCCAGCTAGCAGGGTGTGGTACCCAGGTGGAGAAGGCTCAGTGTGTGTGTGTGTGTGGGGGGGGGGGGGTTGGTGAGTGAAGGGAGAATTGTTCCCCCTTTCCTCTGAGGGTGTGGCTGGGTGGCAGATCGTTGGGCTACCGGAATGGGGACACCAGATTGGGGAGGCTGAGGCCTCTCTGGTTTTGGAGCTCCCAAGGCTGAGTTCACATGGAGGCAGCCAGGCCCATATGTGCCTGGGATACACTTTCAGAGAAGGGGGAGGCGTCCGAAGTTGGAGGGTCTCAGATGGGGGGAGCAGAGAGAAGGAAAGGACTCAGAAAAAGGGAGGTAAGCTAGAGTGGGGAGGGGAATCAACAGGGGGAGGGGACCCAGGGAAAGGGGTGATCAGTGAGGGAGGGGGTTCAGAGCTGGGACAGGGTCTTGAGGGAAGAAGACATAGGGGTTTTAACATTGGAGAGAGGTCTCTGCTCATGGGAGTGGGTGGCAAGATCTCTAAATTTGACTTCTAGGACTCCTAGTGCCTCACCTCACCTACCGTGACCTTGGTGGATATAGTAAATAGCTTTTCTGGGCCTTGACTTTGACATCTATATAACGGGGTGAAACCGTGCCTCTCTCTCGAGCTTGCTGGGCAGCTGCACTATGATTAGAACATGACATTTATCGAACACCTTCTCTGGACGGGTGGGGATCTACTCCAAGATGGTCTGACCTAGGACCAGCACTCGCTGCCCCCACACCTGCTGGGGAGGGACCAGGTGTCTTTCTGTCCTGGTGGATGTTGACCCCTTTCTTCTGGTCAGCTTAGTTCAGCAGGCTCCTCTGAATCTCCCATGTGCCCTGCCCTGTGTGGGGTGATGCTGTGGTCCCCAGTCCGGAGGAAGAAGAGCAACACTAGCCATGTCCTACCCTGAGGCAGAGGAGGAGGGAACCCAGAGAGGGGAAGGATTGCCCGCTTGGGGCTTTTGAGTTGGGATTTGAAGAATGATTAGGAGTTCACCAGAGATACCAGGTTGGGAAGAGGATTCTGTCCTAGGACCAGCGGAGAAGTAAATGCCACCCCCATCCTACATCCCTCAAGTCTGTTGTCAAATACTCACATTAGCTTATCTCATACCCGTGCCTGGGTAAGTGTGGGGGTGGGAACTGGGGGTGGATTTCTTCTGTTGAACATCATTTTCAGGGCCAGGGGCAGGGGATAGAAGAGTCCAGAACAACGAATCCAGGTTGGTCCACTCAGGTGTGACAGTGCTCCCACCAAGGCTTGGGGAGCTGACAAAAGTAGCAGTCTTGGTATACTGGTCAGCTACTTCTGAGAACAAACCATCCCAATCGTTTTTTAAAATGTATTTTTATTGATTTCAGAGAGGAAGGGAGAGGGAGAGAGAAATATCAATGATGAGAGAGAACCATCGATCAGCTGCCTCCAGCACGCCCCCTATTGTGGATTGAGTCCACAACCCAGGCATGTGTCCCTGACAGAATTGAACCGGGACTCTTCAATCTATAGGCTGACGCTCTATCCACTGAGCCAGACCAGCTATGGCCCACCCCAATCACTTTATTTGTTCATGATTCTGTGGGTCGGTAATCCCAACCTGTAGCTGGGGAGTTCTTCTGCTGGTCTCTCCTGGGGTCATTCATGCAGCTGCAATCAGTTGGGTCTTAACTGGGGCAAGCTTGGGTCAGGACGGCCTCACTGCTATGTGCTGTGTGTCAGCGGGGCCTCTCTGTGCATGAGGGCTCCCATGTTCCCATAGTTTGCCCCAGCATGACCTGGAATGACTTGGTAATCTCAGCGTCTCAAGTGTGGAAGCTGCAGGGTCTCTTGAGGCCAAGGTTGGAACTCCCACAACTTCACTTCGATTGGTCAGAGCAAGTCACATGGCCAAGTGCAGATACAAAAGGAAAATAGATTCCAGTTCTCAAGGAGAGGAACCACAAAGTCACATCACATACAGGGACTGGCGGAGTTGGGATATCTTTGCAAACAGCTCATGGCACTTGGGGAGGCAGGAAGGCTTCCTGGCGGAAGGGATATTGTTACTGGGTTTTAAAGGCTAAGTAAGAGTTTTCCAGACAGTGTGAGCAAAGTCCTGTGGGTGGGACCATGTATTATTTGGTCTGAGTGGAGTGTTAGTTGCTGACGGGTGGTTGGTGGGATGCTGAGGCTGGGGAGGTAGGCAGGGTTGCCTGGCAGAGCTCAGGCAAAGTTTCTACCCACGCTGCTCCAGCTGCCGACCTTGACCTCTCCCCACCCCCTTTTCCCACAGATGGCACGGCCAATCCAGGTGAAGCCTGCGGACAGCGAAAGTCGTGGAGGTAGTTGTCATCTCTCCGTGACCTCCAGGCTGGGGGTTGGTGGAGGGATGGGGGAAGAAGGGAAGGTTCCTGCACAAAAGGCTGCAGCAGTGCCCTGCCTGCTCACACACTAATGGCGTGGAGACAGGAAGCAGGGCCGCTGTCCTCTCTTCCCGACCACAGGGCCACAGGCCTCGTGCAGCTACTTGCCCCGGAGCTTGAAATACCTGATTCCTCTCAGAGATCAGTAATGGGGATCTTCAGACACAGAGGGGATGGGGTCCCTGAAGGGCTCTGGATTGATTTTTGGGGTTGTGTGTATGTGTGTGTGTGAACGTTTGCATGTTTAGACAAGTGGGTATGTCTGTGTATATAAGCATGCATACTTGGGCACACCTGTGTGCAGACAGGTGCAAGTATGTGCACATATGCATGTGTGTTTCTGAGGCTGGTGTAGCGGGGGTGCGTGCACCGCTGCGCACCCAGCCTGTGCGTGGGCATGTATGTTCAAGTGTGTGTGCTTGACTGTAACAGGCGGGCCTGTGGGCGTGCAGGTTGGGGCCTGGTGTCTGCAGGGGCTGGACTGTGTGGCAGAGGTGTGCCCAGGGAGGGGGGTGCTTGGCTGTCCCCAGAGGGATTCAAAAATTCTTGGAGATTTTTGTCTCTCCTCCCCATCTCAGGTGGATTGGGGGCTGAGGGAGAACAGCCAGCCGGGGGATGGTGTGTGGGACGGGGCTGTTAGGACCCCTGGAGCTTGAAATGTGTAAGAGCCTGGTGAAGCCAATATGGGCTGGGAGCCTGTTTTCAGGCCGCCAGTGTGGGTCAGGGTTTGGAGAGCTGGGGTTTGCATGTCTCCATCTCTGTATCCTCTCTCTTGCTCCCTCTCCCCCCATATCTCTGTCTCTCTCCTTACCTTTTTCTTTCCTGTCTCTGCTGCTCTCTGTGCCTCTCTGCTTATCTCTGTTTCACTCTCATACGTCTTTCTCTTCCTGATTTGCAATCTCTCTGCTTCTGTGTCTCCCTCCCTCCCACCCCATGAGTGACAGCTGCCAGAAAACTGGTCTCCATAGTAACCCATCTTACTGTCTAGGGGAGAGGAAGCTGCCGCTGTCTGATTACAGGGGAGCAGCACAACTACCCCAGGGGCCAGGGCTCGGGTGCCTCACACAGGAGAGGCTGGCCCAGACTGACCGCTGGCCTTAGACTTGGGCAGGTCCCAGCCAGGCCCCCACTCCAGCTCCACCTGTTGGGGACTGCAGGCTGCCCAGGCCCTTGGTCCTGTGCACACACATGCCTCACTCATTCAACAAACATTGATTGCCTAGTCCCTCCTGAGCCCCGCAAGGTTGGGCAGGGAGCTCTGCTGGGCACGGGGAGGATGCAGAGGCCATCAGCGCTCACCCCTCCCTGTAGAATCTCCATGGCAGAGAGATCGACAGGGACCTAGGCCAGGCAAGGTAGTTCCTAACCCTGGTACTGTGTGGGTTCTCTGAGACCACAGGAGGGAGAGACCATCTTTACTGGGAGGTGGGAGCAGTGGTGCAGACGCCCCGAAGGATTGAAGGAAGGACATTCCAGACGGGGGGGGGGGGGGGGGGGGGGGGGGGGGAGTGGGCGGGGCACGGCGTGAGCAAAGGCATGAAGATGGGATCGTGCAGGAACGTGGGAGACGCAGGGCAGCGCCCGGCTGTTACCTCCTTGGCGCGCGCAGGACTGGAGGGCCCAGGGGAGAAATTCCCGGAGGCTTTCGAGCCAGGACTTGTCTGAGTGGTGTCTCCGCCCACAGGGGACCGGAAGCTGTTTGTGGGGATGCTGAACAAGCAGCAATCAGAGGAAGACGTGCTGCGGCTGTTCCAGCCCTTCGGGGTCATAGACGAGTGCACGGTGCTCCGGGGGCCTGATGGCAGCAGCAAAGGTGACAGGCCCGAGCTGGAGCTGCCCCTGGGGCAGGGCTGGGGACACAGGGGGCAGGGCGGCGCCCGAGGCGGGCGGGGTTGGATCCCGGGGCGGGGCCCGCGCGGAGGGGCACTGGTGGGCGGGGCCCGAGGGTGGGCGGGGCCAGATGCTTGGGCGGGTGGGTGGAGTCTAGCCTTACTAGCTGTCGTCCATCTGGGGATGCCTGTCTCCACCTGACTCTGTCCATGGGACTGTTTCCACCTGGATTTGCCTGTGTTCTGTGTAGGTACTCCCCCATTCCTATATGGCTGCACCTTCTAGGAATGATTGTTTAATGACCTCCACAGACATGTTTTCTTGTCTGCCTATGTGACTGTATGTGACTAGGGCTGAGTATCACTCCTCCTGCATCTCTGTCTCTGACTCTTCCTGCCGGGTATCCAAATGACCACTTCTGTATGGGTCTTCGTGTGTCAGGTGGTTTCTGGCTATCTGTTCATCCGATTCTGCTCATGTGATTGATCGGCTGGGTCTGCCTTTGTATGGTGACTTATCCCCATTTCTCCAACTCTGGTCACATGCATCGATCCATCTGGGTCTGAGTGCATCTCTGCCTGGGTGTGCACAGGACCATATCTCTCTGCATCCGTGCCTCATGGTTTGTCACTTTAATTCTGCACATCTGATTACAACTCTGGCTCTCCTAGTGTTGGTAGCTGGTGGGTGTTCTCTAAGCCTGTCCCCATCCCTTGATTGTGGGTTTGACAAACAGCTATCTGGCTGGCTGGCTTTCTGACTAAATGGATGGCCGATTGGCTGACTGTCAAACTCCATGGCTGGCTGTGTGCTTCTCTTACTGTCTCATCCTTCATTGTCCAGCTCTCTGTCTGAGCAAATGGCTGGCTGGCTCTCTGTCTGACTTTCTGGCTGCATGTGTCTGATGCTGACTGGCCATCCAGGGTCCCAGCCCCCGCTTCGGTGGTCTTACCTACCCAGAAATACCCCATTGCCTCTTCCCTGTTCTTCTCTTGGAGCAGGCTGTGCCTTCGTGAAGTTCTCCTCCCACACGGAGGCTCAGGCGGCAATCCACGCCCTCCATGGCAGCCAGACCATGCCGGTGAGTAGGAGCTGCCCTAGGCCAAGGTGGTGGGCATGGGAAAGGGGTAAGCGGGCCCTATTCCTACCATCCCAGCCACCTGGTCGTCCTTGGTTCTTCTTCATAGTGGGCATAGGTGGAAAAGGAGGCAGTTCTGGTGATGATGTGAATGGGTGTGTGTGTCTGTGTGATTGTACATATGTGTGAATGTATGTGTGTGAAAGAATGTACTGCCAGCGTGTGGCTGCATGTGTGTGTGTGTCTAAGAGAGCATGTGAGTGCATGCATGTCTGTGTAAGTACATGTGTGCAAGCATGTTGAGTGCATGAGTATGCCCAGGTGATGTGGGGGGAACACGTACATGCATGTGCCTCTGTAGGTGTGTGTGTGAGGGTTTGTGAATATGTGTATGGATAAGTACATGTGTGTATGTGTGGGTGATGGCATATGATTGTGTGCATAGTGACTGTATATTCTTAGGTGTGTACATGTGGGATTTTGTGCATGTGTATGTGAATGCATTGTGCAAGTATGTGTGAGTATGCATGGTGAGCATGTATATGTGAGTGCTGTGCATGACTGTGAGCGTACATGGTGAGTGAATGTGTGTGAGCACGTGTATATGTGTGTGAGTATACAGGAGGGGTGAGACCTGAAGGTGGATGGGATTTGCCGAGGCCAGCAGGGGGACATGAGGGTGTGGGGAGTGACAAAATCAAAGGCAGGATTGGAATGGGGGACCCCAGAGGAGCTGGGGAGGATGGGCTAAAGGGGCCTGTAGTTCAAGGCTGAGGCACACAGATTCCTCCTATGGCCATGGGGAGCCACAGAGGGGTTCGACAGGGAAGGGAAGATGTCCGGTTTAGTTGGAAATGTCTCTTAGGGGCCAGAGTAAGGGTGAGCAGAGGCAAGACTGGAGCCAGGAACTTGTGGGTCAGCAGTGGTGTGAGGCTGGGAAGGACCACCCTGTCACTGGGGTGGCCCTGGCCCCCAGGAAGGAGGCTCTGAGAACCATCTTCACTGTATGTAAGTGTCTAAATCCCATGGGGAAGACAGCCTTGGAGAACCAACTTGTCTCTCAGTTCTTGAAAATGGGTGTGGAGTGCAGGGCAGTCTCAGAAGAGCAGGCACCAGTTTACTCCCTGGACAGGCAGGATGTAGCTCATCACCAGGTCAGGTTTCCTCCTACTCAGAGCTGCCCAGCGATGGGCTGGCAGGCATAACAGGGAGTGAGCTCTCCATCAAATGGGTCATGCCACCCTCTCTGATGGCTGTTCTCAGGTGCAATCTAACCTGTTCTCAGGTGCAAGGTGCCATTTGCAGAGTTATCCATCTGTGCCCCATTCCTCTCTGGTGACCGTATTCTGACCCGTTCTCAGGTGTAGGTGACAATTATAGGGTCCTCCACCCAGGCCGCCATGTTCCTCTCCAGCAGGTGGATTCTCCTGTGTGTGTGTGTGTGTGTGTGTGTGTGTGTGTGTGTGTGTGTTAAGATTTGTTATTGATTTTTAGAGAAAGAGAGAAACACTGATTGGCTGTCTCCTGCACGCCCCCTACCAGGGAGCCTGTAACCCATGCATGTGCCCCAATAGGAATCGAACCAGAAACCTGTTGGTGCATGGGACAACATCCAACCAACTGAGTCACACTGGCCAGGGCTCCTCCTGTTTGGGGGAGTGTGCCTGAGAGTCAGGGTCCTCCACTGTATCCCAGACACAGCCCCCTGGGCCCAGATGCCTCACCTGTGTGCAGGGGTGGTTGCATCAAGTGCAAGACCCAGGACTCTGATATTCGGGTTGTCTCCCTGTGGTGCCCAAAGTCTGCAGCAGGGGCTCATGGACAGGGCCAACAGCTGTTGCTATCTGTAGCCCTCACCACAGCTGGTGTGGGTCTGGGGACCCCAGATTCCTGGTTACCTCCCTCCTTTTTTCCTTCCTGCTTGTGGCTGCTCCTGCAGGGTGCCTCCTCCAGCCTGGTGGTCAAGTTTGCCGACACAGACAAGGAGCGAACACTACGGCGCATGCAGCAGATGGTGGGCCAGCTGGGCATCCTGACACCGTCCCTCACCCTGCCCTTCAGCCCCTACAGTGCCTATGCGCAGGCCGTGAGTGACCCCAGCAAACAGGCCTTTGTCTCCAGTGGGACTTCCAAGACTACTCTGCGGATCCAGCTCAGTCTCTCTCTCTCCATCTAAGTCTCTGTTGAGGGGTTTGGCCTCTCTGCCCATCTTTATTTTATTTTTTAATTTTAAATATATTTTTATTGATTTCAGAGAGAAAGGGAGCGGGAGAGAGAGATAGAAACATCAATGATGAAAATCATTAATTGGCTGCCTCCTGCATGCCCCCTACTGGGGATCGAGCCTGGAACCTCCTGATTCATAGGTCAATGCTCAACCACTGAGCCACACCGGCCAGGCTCTCTGCCCATCTTTCTGTCTCTTGCCTAATCTCTCTGACTCAGGGTCCTATTCTGGCCATGGCTGAGCCCACAAATCCAGGCTGATTCCCAAGCCCCACACCTAGCTGAGCCTCCAGCCATAAACTGAGCCCTGAGCCAAAGCTGAACTTCTACTTGGACTGACATGACCCAATGTTCAGCCCCCAAATAATTCAGGTCAAGCTTCAACCCTGAACAGAGACCAAACCCAGACTGAGCCTCTAAGTCTCAGTTAAGTGTTAAGTGTTGGCTGATCCCTGATCCTAGATCAAGACCACATTCTTGACTGGACCTAGATCCCTGGATTAACCATGATTCCTATGAGCCCTGATCCAAGGCTGAGCCCCATTTCCTGACTGATCCCTGATTCTGGCCTAAGCCAAGATATCCAGCCTGACCCCCCTAGCTACTGGAGGACCAGGCCTCCCCCTGGGACCTATGACCTCAGGGCAGGTGCCACCCTGACTGTGCATCTTGACTCCCTCTCCACCCCCAGCTCATGCAGCAGCAGACAACGGTCCTGTCCACCTCAGGCAGCTACCTGAGCCCTGGCGTGGCCTTCTCACCCTGCCACATCCAGCAGATCGGCGCCGTCAGCCTTAATGGGCTGCCTGCCACACCCATTGCCCCTGCCTCTGGTGAGAGTCTGCCAGGGGCCCAAGGACGCATGGGCAGGGCCAGAACCAGGCCCAGGCTCCTCATGATGTTTTTCTGCTCTGCAGGACTGCACTCGCCCCCACTGCTCAGCACTGCCGCCGTGCCCGGCCTCATGGCTCCCATCACCAACAGCTTTGCGGGTGTCGTGCCCTTCCCTGGCGGGCACCCTGCCCTAGAGACTGTATATGCCAATGGCCTCATGCCCTACCCAGGTAACTTGGGTGGTTCCCCAGGGCCTAGGAGAGCATGAGGGGGCAGGACGGTGTCTCTAGGACAAGCATAATTTCCTGTGTCTTGATGCCCCATGGAACAGAGAGGCAGAACAATGGGAATCTCAGCTGAGCAGATATGTGCTGGGGGCACAGAGAAAAAGGTTAAACATAGGAAATTTGCACCCAGACATTTCTGGGTTCATATTCAGATTTGGTGGCCCTTGGGTGATTCCTTTAAGTCTCTGAGTTTCAATTTGCTCATCTGTGAAATGGGGCAGATAACATCAGTCACCTCATGAGGTTGCATGGACAATGAAATCAGTATAAAAAAATGATTAACACATCACCTAGTACTAAGAATGGCACCATCAATCTTAATTATTAATTGTTACTATTTGGAAAGATATCAGTACCAGGATTCATTCACTCATTCACTCACTCAATACTGACCATGCATTGATTTGAGCTCATGAAGCAGAGGTCCCACCTTTCCCACTATACCATGATTTCAAGGCAAACATGTTCCAACGCCTTGCTGAAGTGAAGTAAGTCATCTGTGTTTACACCATTAAAGAGGATTTATTTTGACTTTGAAATGATTGAGGCTAACAGGGAGTTACCAAAATAATACACAGAAGTCCCGTGTACCCCTCACCCAGCTTCTCCAATGCTAACATCATAGATAATCACAGGGACATTGTCAAAACCAGGAAACTGACATTGGTGTGTACAGTGAACTCAACTGGAGTAGGAGAACTTATTCAGATTTCACTGCTTTGTACATGCACTTGTGTGTGTGTGTGTTTCTATACCATTTCATCACAGATATAGATTCATGTAACCACCACCACAATCAAGATACAGAACTGCTCCAGCTTTACAAAGTAATTCATTTATTCAACCCCTTTACAGTCACCCCCCCCCCCCCCACACACACACACACACTGTTCCATCCTCTAGCAACCTCTCTCCATTCAAACGGAATCTTTTGGCTGAATTTTCTCGATTCACCAGCTCTGGTGGCCTGGACAAACTCTCACCTCTCTTAACTCCTCCACTAGGGCCATTGGGAAGGTCATAGCCACATAGGGGTCCATGGGGTGACTGCCAATGAGGTGTAGGGAGTGAGAGAGAGGAAGTGATAGGGGTGAGTGGTGGTCCGGAGCAGAGTCCTGGAGAATATAGACAATAAAAGGAAGGAGCGAGGGGGCCAGGAATAGGGAGAGAGAGAGATGGGAGTCATGTGTCAACCTCTCTGGAATCCCAGAAACCTGGATTCCAGTTCGGCTTCTGCCATTTCCGATCTAAGTGACCCTGTGCCAGTTACTTCACCTCTTTAAGCCTCAGTTTCTCCACCTGTAAAATGGGAAGCATACCTGTGCACTGTTTACGCAGAGATGAAGCTGGGGCGGATGTCTGTTGCTCTCTTTTCCGCGCTTAAGAATTGGGGGTGGGTAGAAGTCTTATGTTGCCCCCGCCCCACTCAGCCCCTCCGTCTGCCCGCAGCTCCGAGCCCGACCATGGCTGAGACCCTCCATCCTGCCTTCTCCGGAGTCCAGCAGTACACAGGTAGGGAGGCACGCCGGCCTGCCCCGCAGGAAGCCCGCCCCATAGAAGCCCCGCCCCCAGGGCTCGGCCCTTCCTCTTTCTTTTCTAATCTTTCTTCCTACTTCTGGCCGTGGCCCAATCCCAGCTCTTTGTCCTGCTGGTCCCGCCCCTCAGATCCTGCCTAAGGTCGGCATTGGCCCCGCCCCTAACCCGTGTCCCCGCCTCTCAAGTCCGGGCTGCTCTGTTGCCTGGGCCCCACCCCTAGGCCGGCTCTTCGTTGTGGCCCCGCCCCTCCTCCCCAAGACCCACGATTGGCCCCGCCCTCAGCCTAGGCCCCGCCCCTAGAACTAGCCGCGCCCCGCTCGCGCCGGGCGCCCGCCGGCCTCACGCGGCTTCCGCTCCGGGTCTCCACAGCCATGTACCCCACCGCGGCCATCGCGCCCATCGCGCACAGCATCCCGCAGCCGCCGCCGCTCCTGCAGCAGCAGCAGCAGCGAGAAGGTGAGGGGGCCGCGACCTCCTGCGGGCGCCAGCCCCGCCCTCTGACCGCCCCCATCGCCTGCAGGCCCCACCCCTGGCCAGTCCTCGGGGAACCGCGCGGCTGAGAGCTCGGCCCAGGGGACGGAGAGGCCGGGGTTCAAGTCCTGTGCCGTCCCTGGGAGTTTGGGGGGGGCACTGACTCCCCCTCTCCGAACCATGCTAGCTCGACCCCGTAGGCATAGAGGTGCCCTTTCCAAACCTGAATGATTCTCTGAATTTTTGGAGAGGAAGCTCATTGTGAGGTTGGGAAGAGGGGGTGCGGTATTTCGGCTAAACTGGAGCCTCCCAGTAAAGTCGACGGTGCCAGAGTTAGGTTCTGGACTCGGACAACCGGAATTCAGACCCACCCGGATCTGACCGGTGACAAAAGGAAGGCACCTCACCACCCTGGGCCTCAGTTTCCTCCTCTCTAACACAGGCGACTGTTGGTGCCAAGAGGTGCGAGCCTGCAGGGGCCGCTCCGCACGGGGAGACCCTCTGGTTCATCCAGCGGGTGCTGGTGCTGGTGCTGGGGGTGCGGGGAGGCTGGGGAAGTGGCCGCCCAGGAAAGCCAGGTCTCTCCCCAAGGCAAGGGGAGCCTGGCCCGCAGACATGTCAATAAACAAAGACAGGACCCCAATAAACCGATAGCACAGTTGTATCAACGTCAGATGGCCAGGAAATACATGATACTGCAATGTGGTGGCATTTTATCTTGGAAAAGAGCCGAAATGTGCACGTGGAAGTGGCCTGGGAAGGGCAGCTGCATGAGAGGGGCAGTGAACTAGCGGAAACAGGGTTGTGGAAATGAGACGGTCGTAGCCTCAGGGGGGGACAGGTATGGCTCCTCACACACTTGGGGGGCGGAGGAAGTTGGTGGGTGGTAGAGCTTGTGTGTGAGCCGCATTTTGTTTTCTCATGAGGCTTGGTTCATCTGGGCCCGGGTTTCTGCATTCACCTAGTGTTTCCTGGCGACGAGATAGCCTATAAGCAAACACAGAATTTGCGCTATGCTCATAATTGTCCCGTAACATATCAGTCACATTGGAACACACTTGCATTTTATACAACCAAAGACCTTGTATGCGTATATGCATAACCCATGGGCGCAGACAATGGGGTGGTGAGGGCCTGGGGTGGGGGGTGGGAGTGGGCTGGAGGGGGTGGGGGAGTGGTGGGGGACAAAAAGGGACATATGTAACACTTTCAACAATAAAGACTTAGATAATAATAATAAATAAAAATGCAAACAATAAATAAATAAAAGCAAGCATTGTAGCAGAACCGTGGTTCTAATCAGAAAGGTAGGGGGTGGATGTGATTGTGTGGTCTTGGATTTTGTATTTTCTGGGGTGGGGAATATTCATTGCGAGGATAAAAGCAATTCTTGGTAGTTTGGTCACTACCTTTGTTTTGGGGAGCCTGGGAGCAGGTTTGGCTTCAGATAATCAGATTTTTATTTACTTTATTTTGTTTTTTATTGAATTTATTGGGGTGACATTGGTTAATAAAATTATATAGATTTCAGGTGAACAATTCTATAAAACATCTGTGTATTGTGTGTTCACCACCCCAAGTTAATTGGGTTTTTAAATGGTATTATTTATAGTTTGTGTATAAACCATGCATTGGGGATTATATGGGGAAAGGATGATTTTGAGGGTTAGCCATGTTTTTAAAAAAATATTTCTGCCCTGGCCAGTGTGGCTCAGTGGTAGAGTGTCTGCCCACGCACCAAAGGGTCTCTGGTTAGATTCCCGGTCAAGGGTACATACCTGGGTTTGCAAGTCAATCCCAGGCCCTGGTCTGGCCTTGTGTGGGAGGCAACCAATCGATGTGTCTCTCATATCAATGTTTCTCTCTCTCTCTCTCTTTCCCCTCTTCCCTACCTTCCACTCTCTCTAAAAATCAATGGAAAAATCCTGAGGCAAGGATTAACAAAAATAAATAAATAATTAATTAAAGTATGTCTGGTTGGTATAGACCAATAATTTTAAAATTATTTGTGGGAGCCCAGCCAGTGTTGAGCGTCAGCCTATGAACTGGAAGGTCGAGGTTAGATGCCCAGTCAGGCATATGCCTGGGTTGCAGACTCAATCCCCAGTGTGGGCCATGCAGGAGGCAGCTGATCAATGATTCTCTCTAATTAATGATGTTTCGATCTCTCTCTACCTCTCCCTTCCTCTCTAAAATCTATAAAAATATATTTAAAAATTATTTGTGGTTTCAGGATATCTGGGATTCAGGACTGGAGAGTTCTCTTTAGTTTACTTGATTTTATTTTTGCATCATCTGAGTTTTGGAAATTATCCAAGGTTAGGAGAATTATCCAAGGCGTTTGGAAAATATATCTGGATATTTGGGTTTTGGGTCAGAGAATACTTTTCTTGTTTTACTCTGTGATCATCGGACTTTTATTGGTTTTTTTGTTTTCTTTTGTTAATCCTCACCCGAGGATATTTTTTCCATTGATTTTTAGAGAGAGTAGAAGGGAGGAGGAGAGACAGAGAGAGAGAAACATTGATGTGAGAGAGACACATCCAGTGGCTGCCTCCTGCATGTGACCTGACTGGGGCCAGGGATCGAGCCTGTAACAAAGGTACATGCCCTTGACCAGAATCAAACCCAGGACCCTTCATTCCAAGGGCCGATGTTCTATCCACTGAGCTAAACCTGCTGGGGCTATTACTATTTTTTAAAATTGATTTTAGAAGAAGAGAGAGAGAGAGAGAGAGAGAGAGAGAGAGAGAGAAACATGGATGTGAGAGATACATCAATCAGTGCCTCCTGTACGCACCCCAATCAAGGTCCTTGACCAGGAATTGAACCTGAGACCTTCCGGTGCACAGCATGACGTTCCAACCAACTGAGCCACACTGGCCAGGGCAATCATCGTACTTTAAAAAACCACATCATCATTTTATTTTAGCACCAGTTTTAGACTTACAGAATAATTGAAAAGATAGATTATAGTTTCCATATATCTACACCTAGTTAACCTGACTTTTGTAAATAATCAGGAGTTTGAGGTTTAGGGATTTTCCTGGATTTTGGAATTCCTGTTATTTATCTTGGTTTGGGCAGAGGGGTAAGAATCATCTGAATTTTGTAAATTATCTGGGGCCTGAGGACTATCAGAGGTTTGGAGTATCTGTGTGTAGGATTATAGAGCAGGGACCAGGATGCCCTATCTCCTTACCCCCCATTTCACATCCCTTCTTTCTGGGTATCATGGGGCACCTCTCTCCTGACAGCTGGAGGTGCCCAGATGTGGGTCCAGACCCGCCCCTCCCCTGGGGGGGGGCTCCGCCTCCTCTCCTTGGGGGCTTTATGTCTTTCTCTCCCCTACCTGCAGGTCCCGAAGGCTGTAACCTGTTTATCTACCACCTCCCCCAGGAGTTTGGAGACACGGAGCTGACGCAGATGTTCCTGCCCTTCGGCAATATCATCTCCTCCAAGGTGTTTATGGATCGGGCCACCAACCAGAGCAAATGTTTTGGTGAGTACCTGTGGAGGGTGCCCCTTCCTGCTGGCCAGCCTGTCCCACTCCCCTGGCCCTGGAACAGGGGATGGGGGTGGGGTGGGAGAGGTTGGTCATCCCTGAGCAAGCCTGGTCCAAAAGAATCGCATTTAAAAAAAAAAAAAGAATCGCATTCATAATCAGAGTGAACACTTACTAAGCACCTACTGTTTGCTGGACACTTGCCATGCATTCTTTCTAAGACTTACTCGTTCATTCATTCATTCAATAAATGCATACATTGTGTCCCTGCTGTGTGCCAGGTTCTGTGCTTGGCACCGGGCACATAGCAGTGAAGCCCTACCCTGAGAAAGCTCACAGCCTTCCCGCACCGTCCGACAGAGCTTCCTGTGATGACGGAATGTTCTACATCCGGTCTGTCTGAGCCATCAGCCCATGTGACTACCAAGCACTTGAAATGTGCCCAGTGTGACCAAAGGACTAAATGCTTAATTGTATTTAATTTAAATTAATTTAAATTAAAATAACCACAAGAGCCAGTGGCTACCAAATTAGAAAGCACAGATTTAGGGGGAGGAGATGGAAATAAGGAATCATAGGATATAGGCCAGGGAATTATAAATAGTATGAAGAAAGATAGAGCTGACTGATGATGAGCCAGCATGGGGAAATCTGTAGGAAGAGTGTTCTATGAAGAGGCAACAGCATGTGCAAAGGCCCCGGGGCTGGGCCATGTGTGTTGGAGGAACAGTGAGGAGGCCTGTGTGGATGGAACAGAGTGAATGATGGGGAGAGAGGGAGGAGGTAAGGGCAGGTGGGGGACAGGGACAGATCATCTTTGTCCCCAGAAACAGAGGAAATTAGGGCTCAGAGAGGCACTGACACTTGTTCAAATCACACAGCTGCAAAGAGGCAGAACCTAGATTAGAACTAGTCTGTTTGACTACAAAATCTGGACTGGTAACCCCACCCCGTCCTCTTTGAAGAGCTAATTCTTGACTGTTTGTTAAGTGCCTTCTGTATATACTCAGTATCCAACCATAAAAGGGAAGAATTGTCCCAATTTACTGAGGGAGAAAAGAGAGGAACGAAATGGTCAGGTGACACACTTGAAGTCACACAGCAAGTATGGAACTCCCACTAGTGCCCAAGCCCCCTTTTCTGTAACCTGCGTCCAGAAGGAAGAGGAAATTTCGGGAGGAAAACCCACCCAATCACTTTCAACCATCAGGGGGATCATATGCACTCTCTGAGCCTCAGTTTTCTCATCTATATAATGAGGGGACTTAATGGAGATAAATACAATGATGTTAATCCCCGTGTCTCCCCATGGGCCTCAGCAAGACCCTTCAACCCTGAGCCCAATCTCTCTGCCTGACCTCCCACTTGGCCTTTCACACAGAGCTCAGGTGACCTCATCTCCAAATGCTTGTGTGGTTCCCTCCCCCGGAGGGTCCCTGGCCTCTGGGCTGCACATGGTCCCTGTGATGACCAAGAAGTAAGGGGCCGGAGTAGGGCCAGGCAGCCTTGAGCTGGCAGATGGAGGGAGTTTTGGCTGGTGGCAGTTTAAGGAGGGGGAGGCTTAAGTATTTCTGATGGTCTTGGGGGAAACTAGGAGTAGAGAGACTGACAGAGACAAAGAGAAGGAGGGAGAGATGGAAAAAGAGACAAGACAAAGAAGCACACACACACAGTCATAAGGACAGACAAGATCGCAGATGAATAGAGGTCTCAGAGGAGGCAAAGGGCTAACTAGCATCAGGGCCCAGAGGAGGCAGGCATCCTGGTGGGAGGGAGGACCTGGACCCCCAGAGGTAGGTCCCACCTGTCCCCAACTCCACATAGGAAGTCTCTGCAGAGCAAACCCCAGGTAAGGAATGAGTGCCCCATCCCCAGAGGCACGCAGTCCAGGCCAGGGGTGCTGTGTGTCCTCTGGCAAGCCCTGCCACCTCCGCCGGCTGCCTGCCCCTGCGAGCGCACACCCCGCCCCTAGGACCCCACGAGCCAGGAAGCCGAGTGGAAGACGCCCACGTTGCCCACCATCGCGGGTCCACCCCGGTCTCTGCAGGCTTCGTGAGCTTTGACAACCCAGCCAGCGCGCAGACTGCCATCCAGGCCATGAATGGCTTTCAGATTGGCATGAAGAGGCTGAAAGTGCAGCTGAAGCGGCCCAAAGATCCGGGACACCCCTACTGACCACGCCCACAGCCGCCCGGAGGCTGTGGGCTTGGCCCAGGTGAGCCGCCAGGCGGCCCCACCCGCCCCAACCCTGCCCCGCGTTTTCTGCACCCTCCCTATTCCCCAAACCCTCTCCCGGCCTGGGGGTGGGAATAGGGCCAGGGGGGTGAGGTTGCTAAGGGGCCCCCAGGTTGGATTGTAAGGGACCGAGCTGGATGAAGACACTCCCAATCCCTGTCGTGGGAGGGTAGGATTGGGTTGGGGAAGTGGGGGAAGCCAGTGCTCACCAAGGGTGGTTCGGAAACCTTCCTGGAGAACGCTTTGAAGGATAAATAGAAATTTGCCTGAGGGGCCATGTTGGGAATGGGGTGGGGAATGTTGTGGGGATGGGCTTCTCTCCTGTCCTATGACTCCCAGCTGGGTCCCTCTCTCAGCTCCTCTATTTGGTATAGTTCATACCCAATGGGTTGATGGGAAGGTGGGATTTTGCCCCGCCCCCCATGCCAGAAAAAATGTCCCCTCAAACAAATCCCCAAGAGTATATTTTGATTTGACATCAGAGCAAACAATTTCATCAACTCATTACCTTTTTTAGGGAATGAATAGTGAGCCTAAGGGATCAATGAGGAAACTAACTACTGACCTCAAGTTTCCATGAGCCTCATCTGTGAAATGGGCTCATAAAAACACCTCCCCTAGAGGCAGTAGGGAGGACTCACACAGGGGATGCAGTGTTTTCCCAGTTGAGCCCGGGATCCACCACCTGTAAATTCTTGATAATTCCTATTTTTTTTCTTTTTTAATCACCATTGGCGTCATCAGAAAGCCTTGCCTGGGGTCTGGCGTAAAGTAGGTGCTCAGTTAGGGGATGGAGGTACCTTTCAGACCCTGTCAGGTCTGCACCCACAGATTTGAGGGTGTGCAGCCAGAATCCTGCATCTTGGAGCTCACATTTGGAAACCTGCCACGTTTGGAAACCAACTCACAGGCAACCCACACACTTTTAACCTGCTGGGCTAGCACATCTTTCCTGAGCACTTACTATGTGCTCGGCACTGCTTCCAGTGTTTGGGGACACAGCTTCGCACGAACAGAAACTTGGGGGTGGGCGGGGGAGGGGAGAAACTGCCTTCCTGGTGCTCCAGTGGCAGGCAGCAGGGGAGAGGAGGCACAAATGAACGGGAATATTTGTCCCAAATTGCCAGATAAGGACGCGCACTTGGTTACCCTAACTCTGTTCCAAGCCAGGTTTGTCAGCCTCCAAACTCCAAAATGGACTCTTTCTGAAAAGATTAGGAATCGGGGTTCTAGACCCCAGCCTCGCCAGGGCAAGGGAGTGGATGGGAGGGGAGGTCCTTTGCCTTTGTGCCCGGCTCAGAGCTCCCTAACGCCCTCCCTTCTCCACCAGGTGAGGGGCCTTCCACCCCAGGAGGGTTTCCCCGCTTCCAACTGATCCAGGACTTTTCCGTAAATTACAACCGAGTTTGGACACCAGCCCTCCCTCTCCTCTCCTGTCTCCCCTGAGCCCCCTTCCCAAAATGTGAAGCGCTGCCGGAGAGGGCAGGGGGCTGAGGAGTTCACCAGTTCCTCCTGGGAGATTTCCTGGCTCCTCACCCCCCACAACCTTGGTGGCTTCCCCAAACTAAATCACCACTTTTTCTATATATATATATGCATATATATAGAGAGAGCTATAGACAGTATATATATTTTTTGAGTGTAGATCATGGGACCAAACTTTTCTGACTTCCTTCCACCCAAGAGAAGGTGACCCTAGGCTGGTCACTCAGCAGGGACATAAGAAGGGCTGAGGCTGGCCGGACAGCCCCGTGTCTCCTCACCTCCCGGCTGTATTGTCAGACCAGGGTGCCAGAGAAGCACTGGGAGTCATCAGCCAACCGATATACCTCCAGGACTTTTGGCCGCTGCCACCGACGATTCTCTCGGGCCTATGGGCTCAGCCGGCTTGAGTGTCCCTGGTCCTAGCTGCAGCTTCCGGGACCCCGAACTTCCCTCCCTTGTCCCAGGGCCCTGCCTTCCCCAGCACAAAAGAGAGCCCCTGGCCTCCCTCAGCCCTTTCCCCCCCAGTCATAGCCTTACTCATGTGACCAATAGCCCTTAGCTTTCCGTCAGGGGTAGATGGGGTCGGTGGGAGCCCCTCTCCTCCTACCCCTCCCAAGGGCAGGCAGCCAGCCCTCCCTGCCTTCGGATCACCAGCCTGGAATTCACGGTCTCATAACCAAGATTGCCACGCTCGTTGGACAAGCCCAACCTGCACTGGCCAAGCACCCCTTTGCCGAAGATACCTCTTCAAAGAATTTTTTTTTAACGTTGATCTTTCTGAGCAGGTACAAAGAAGAAAAGAGAAGAAAAATGGGGGTGGGGGGGTCAAACAATGGATTTTTGTTTCCTAGCTGGGGCTGGGAGGGAGATCCTGTGGGGCGCCTCTCTGTACCTACCCAAACCATGAAACCCACCTTGAAGCACAGAGTCAAGTTCGTCTGGTCGTCCAGTGGAGCCTATTGCCAAACGAGGTACCAGAGAACTTATAAGCTCAAGAAAAAGAATTTTTGGAAAAAAGAAAAACCCACAGCATTCCCTTTTGTTTCTACCAAAATGTGTTGACCAACCCAGAAAAAAAAGAAAAGAAAAACACATAGTAAAAAAAAAAAAAACAAAAAAACAAAAAAAAAGGGAAAAGAAAAAAAAAACCTTCGGACCAACTTGTTTCGATATTCCAGAGTTTGATAATTGTTCCAAGACATTCTCTAGTGTGCCTGTATCCCGTGCGTCTGCGTGTGCAAGCGTGTGCTCAGGGGCCAAGAGGGGGCCTCATCTGCGTCTCCGGTGCCCACCAAGCTCCCGCCAGGCCTGGCGTGCAGTGGTGTGTGTCCTGATCCATGTTTACTGGCTGTAAATACCATTTTTATACTCCACACCGAAGATCTACATGATTTGTACAATGTACTTTATTTCTGCTACTAGTAATTTCATGAAGTTTCAACTTGCAAACCAACTTTTGGAAACAAACCGACACACACACACACACACACACACACAAGGCAAGAAAAGGACTTAGAAGAAACTCTGGGCTGACCAGTTTTGTGGCTAGAGAGGTCCTTGTCACTGTGGTGTGTTTCAGGTGAGAAGCTACAAGCATCATCTTTATGTCCAAAACACCTCTCTTTGGTCTGGAAAAACTGAAAGTTTATTTAATAAAAGTTTTACTTGCTAAAGGACTGAGTCCTCCTTATTTGCCCTTTCGTGTCAGTAAAGACCAAGTGCATCTGGCCCCATTGAGTTCCTGGGCTAGAGAAAAATTCAGATTTAGAGTTTGGAGATGCAGGAGGAGATCATCCAAGAAGGCAGGTCTGAAGTTCCCATAGCCAAGATTTCATCTCCTCCATCCAGAATTTGAGGAAATGAAGTGTTCTTTCTCGGGAAGAGCAGGTGCCTGTGTCTCTTGATTCCCACATTCATTCAGTCAGCCCACAAATGTTTCTTGAACACTCACTGCACATCTGTCTCTTTGCTGGCCACTTCAGACACAGCAGTGACCAGAGGGCTTTAGTCTCTGCCCTCACGGAGGCAGCCCAGGAGAGGAGACTCTATACAACATAGATAGCAGTGGGGATAGATATTTATGAGCAGAATTGCTGGGTCATGTGGTAATTCTGTGTTTCGCTCTTTGAGGAACCACCCAACCATTTTCCATGACAACAGACTTTTTTTGTTTTGTTGATTCTCATTCAAGGTTATTTTTTTTTTCATTGCTTATTTTTAGAGGGAGTGGAAAGGAGGAAGGGAGGGAGGGAGAGAGAAACATTGATGTGACAGACATATCCATTGGTTGCCTCCTGCGCATACCCCAACTGGGGCCAGGAATCGAACCTGCAACCCACGTATGTTCCCTTGACTAGGAATCAAACCCAGGACCCTTCAGTGCTCAGACCAATGCTCTAATCACTTAGCAACACCAGCCGGGACTATACAGTATAACACATTTTTTAAAATTGGGGTAAAATTCACATAACCTAAAATTCACAATTTTTATCATTTTGAAGTGTACGATTCAGTGGCATTCAGTACATTCACAAGATTTTGCAGCCATCACCTCTGTCTAATTCCAGATCATTCCAGCACCTCAAAAGCAATTTCATCTCCCTTAGCAGTCATTCCCCAGCCCCTGGCAACCACTAATTCATTATCTCTGGATTTGCTATTCTGAACATTTCACAAAAATGGAATCTTACTGTGTGGCCTTTTGTGCCTGGCTTCTCTCACTGAGCATCATGTGTTCAAGGTCCATCTATGTTGTAGTGAGTGTCAGCGCCTTTTTCCTTTTCATGGCTGAGCAATACTTCAGTGTGGATGGACCACATCTTGTGCATCCATTCATCCATCAATGGACATTTGGGTTGTTGCCAGCTTCGGGCTATTGTAAATAGTTCCACGATACATGTATACGTTTTTGTTTGAACACCTGTTTCAGTTCTCTTGGATAGATATTTATGAGCAGAATTGCTGGGTCATGTGGTAATTCTGTGTTTCGCTCTTTGAGGAACCACCCAACCATTTTCCATGACAACTGCCCCATTTTATATACCCACCAGCAGTGTGTACGGGTTCCAGTTTCTCTGCACCCTTGTCAGCACTGTTATACAATGATTTTGAATTGGAATGTTGAGGGAGAAAGTTCCCAGTTGAACCTGTAACCAAGGACCCAGAAGTGCCCTGAGGAAGTGATGACTGAAGGAGATAAGACCAGAGAGATGATGTGGCTTTGGCTCCTGCCCAGTGGAGGCCTCAAAAAAAAAAAAAAAAAAAAAATCCTGACACGTGGGGTGAGGACATGAGGCTCTGGAGGAGGGCCTTGGCTGGGGGTGTGAATAGTGGAGATAGCCACACCCAAGCTGAGCCTCTTGAAGTTAGTGGGAGTCATACTAACCACTCGATTTAATGAGCTACTTCATATCCTGCCAAATACTTTGCAAAACCATGTGTCTTATTGGTAATTCATCCCATTTTATGGTTGAGGAAACTGAGGCTCAGAGACACAGCGTGCCTTGCTCTAGCACCCACAGAGAGAACAAGACTGAGCTGGGATACGGGCTGGGAGGAGGAGTCTGAGTCTGCCTGGCAGGGTTTTCTGGGTGGAAGGAACAGCCTGGGCCAAGGCTCCCAGGCTTGAGATGGTGTGGTGGTTGGACAAGTTGGCTAAGACGGCAGCACTGGGCAAAGAAACAGATGCAGAGGTGATAGGGGCCAGATTACAGAGTCCTTTCCTGATCATGTACATAACTGTGTGCCAGACCTTGTCCCTCCCGAGGCCTCTGTCAAGGAGAGAGGTGGACAAGAACATAAAAGTACTCACCTCTGCAAGAAAGAGTCATTCCAGAGCATGCTAAAAGTTGTGGCCACAAGGAGATTAGCAAATCTGGGACATTACCTTAGGGTGAGGGGGAACCACAGAAGGGCTTTGAGCAGGGGAAGGGCATGATCAGATTGGGGTGTTAGGAGGATACCTGGGGTACCTCCAAGCTGATGAGGTGTAAATTGACACTCTGGAGGATAATTTGGCAGGATAATATTCCTTTCAAGCATTTATTAAGCGCTTACTATTTACCAAGTATTGTTTTAAGCCTGTGTCATCTAATACAGTAGGCATTAGCTACATGTGGCTATTTAAATTTAAATTATTATAAACTAGAGGCCCTGTGCACAAAATTCGTGCACAGGAGGGGGGCGGGTCCCACAGCCCGGCCTGCACCCTCTCGCACGCAGTCCAGGACCCCTCGAGTGGGATCGTGTCTAACCTGGCAGTCAGACATCCCTCTCTTGTAGTCTGGGACCCCTCACTCCTTACCGCCCACCTGGAGTGGAAGCAGGAGAGGCTCCCGCCACCGCCGCTGTGTTCACCAGCTGTAAGCCCGGCTTCTTAGCACAGGGGTGGTGCTGGGAGCTTCTCCTGCCTCCAAGGCAGCACTAAAGAGCAGTGAGCCTGGCTTTTGGCTGAGCAGAGCTCCCACAGGGGAAGCACACTGACCACCAGAGGACAGCTCCTGCATTGAGCGTCTGCCCTCTGGTGGTCAGTGCACATCATAGTGACCAGTTGTTTTGCCATTCGGTCGATTTGCATATTAGACTTTTATTTTATAGGATTCTCTGCCTCAGTCATACTAAACCACATTTTAAGGCTCAATAGCCACATGTTCATCACTGCAGAAAGTTCTACAAGGCAGCATTGGCCTAGGTCAGGGGTGGGCAAACTTTTTGACTCGAGGGCCACAATGGGTTCTTAAACTGAACCGGAGGGCCGGAACAAAAGCATGGATGGAGTGTTTGTGTGAACTAATATAAATTCAAAGTAAACATCATTACATAAAAGGGTACGGTCTTTTTTTTTTTTTTTTTTTTTAGTTTTATTCATTTCAAATGGGCCAGATCCGGCCCGCGGGCCGTGGTTTACCCATGGCTGGCCTAGGTGTTTTATGTGATTTAACTCACTTAGCCTACCACCATCCTGGGAGTATGTTCTATTAATAGCCCAAATTTATGAGTTAGTACACTGGAGCCCAGAGAGATTAAGTGACCTGCCTGAGGTGCACAGCAGCAGTTGAATCCAGGCTCTCAGGTTTGTCTCTTAACTGCTGCACTGCTCTGCCTCCCTGTGCTGTGTAGTGGCTGAAATTCAAATGTTAGATTGTAATTCAAGTTACTATTTATAATAGTTTAAGCTTTTAAATTTAACTCAAAGACTCACAGTTGGTAAACGTTTAGAATGTGCATCCTTACAATACGAATGTCTCCATAGAGTGAACTGCTTTGTGCTTGGAATGGCTGAGCCATGGCTGTGGTGTAAGTTTTCATCCAGGGGGATAGGCTATGTGGCACCCAGGGTGTATCACTTAGCTATTGCTGCATGAAAATTTTAGCAGATTAAAACAATACACATCCATTAACTCACAGAGTTTCTGTAGGTCAGGAATCCAGGAATGACATAGCTGGGTGGTTATGGCTTAGGGTGTCTCATGAGGTCACAGTGAAGACATCAGCTAGGGCTGCCTTATCTGAAGGCTTGACTGGGGCTGGAAGAGCCCCTACTAGCTGGTTTCCTCATGTGGCTGTTGGCAAGAGACCTCAGTTCCTCTCCATGCGGACCTCTTGAACCCTGCCTTTTGTGATTATGTCCAGGTCACACCCCCTCACCTCTGCCTTATTCTGTTTGTTAGAAGCGAGTCACTAAGTTTAGCCTACAGTCATGGCAGGCATACACACCAGGAGGTGGGGACAGAGGCCCACACAGGGAGCACTCTCATGGTGGAATACCGTGTGGCTGTTAAAGAATGGAATCGTCTCCAGGTCATACTGTTAGATGAAAACAAGAGAGATGCAGAAAAATGCACACAGCAGGAAATAATCCATGAGGGATGTGTGTGTGTAGCTTCTAAAAAATGCGTAAGTATACATTCTCTCTGGGGCCATGTGTATGCTTGTAAGAAAGAGAGGGAAGGCCCTGGCCACTTTGGCTCAGTGGATAGAGCGTTGGCCTGCGGAATGCAGGGTCCTGGGTTCAATTCCAGTCAAGGGCATGTACCTCGGTTTCAGGCTCCTCCCTGGCCCACCCAGCCCTGGTCAGGGCACATGCAGGAGGCGGCCCATTGCTGTGTCTCTCTCACATCGAGTCAATGGGAAAATATCCTCGGGTGAGGATTAACAAAATATGTATATATTAAAAAAAGAAAGAGAGGGAAGGGCTAGAAGTCTCTTCACCAGAAGGAAGGTGCTGGTTTTGCAGAGTGAGGAGGTGGGGGCCAGGATGAAGCAGTGCTGCAATCTTTACAAGGTCTACCTAAATATATTCAGGTATTATTTAAGAAATTAAGAATTTATTTTAAATACATTTTCAAAAGATGAATGGAAAAGGCAGGTATGAGAGGTATTTGGGGGAAAGTGCCTACATTTAACACAACCGCCCCCACTGCCCTGTGGAGAGGCCTGTGTAACAAGGGCCAACAGCCAGTCAGGAACTGAGTCCGACCAACAACCACATGAGCTTGGAAGTGGAGCCTTTCCCAGTTCGGCCTTCAGAAGAGACCCCAGCCCAGCTAACACCTTGATTGCAGTCTGTGAGAGACCCTGAAGAAGAGAACCAAGCTAAGTATTCCTGGATTCCTGCCCACAGACACTATGAGATAAATGTTTTAACTCACTAAGTTTTAAGGTAATTCATTAT